AAGAGGATAAAAAGGCTAATTATATAAAGTAATTTACACAGTTTTCATAGTTTTTGTTCATGAAAATTTAATAAATAAACATTGTTTTTTAGGCATGCACTGCGAGAGTACAATATTCATAAATCTTTGGACCATCCAAGGGTTGTTAAATTGTACGATGTGTTTGAAATAGATGCAAATTCGTTTTGCACTGTACTTGAATATTGTGATGGACACGATTTAGATTTTTATTTAAAACAGGTGAGGCAAATCTCTTATACAAGTGGTTAATATAATTTATAAATTTATTGTTAAATACCTCAATTAATGTCATTAATTTTTAATCTTTAAAGCACAAGACGATAGCAGAACGAGAAGCTAGATCAATAGTTATGCAAGTGGTGTCTGCACTTAAATATTTGAATGAGATCAAACCTCCTGTGATACATTACGATTTAAAACCTGGTATGTATAATTTATTCAAATTAAATTAAAATGATTATTCATTTTGAAACTTGTTTTAGGAAACATATTACTTACTGAAGGAAATGTCTGTGGTGAAATAAAAATCACAGATTTTGGTCTTAGCAAAGTGATGGATGAGGAAAATTATAATCCTGATCACGGAATGGACCTTACATCACAGGGAGCTGGAACATACTGGTGAGTTATTGAATTACAAAAATAAATATCAATTAATTTTAATACCTTTAATATAAAAATAATAACTAAATTTTTTCTTTTAGGTATTTGCCACCTGAATGTTTTGTTGTTGGTAAAAACCCGCCTAAAATATCATCTAAAGTGGATGTTTGGAGTGTGGGTGTAATATTTTACCAATGTCTGTACGGTAAAAAGGTAATAAAACTTTTATTTTTTAAACTGATTTATTTTTGATAATAATAATTATTATTTGTTATAGCCTTTTGGTCATAACCAATCTCAAGCTACAATTTTAGAAGAAAATACAATATTAAAGGCTACTGAAGTACAGTTTGCCAACAAACCTACAGTCAGTAATGAAGCAAAGGTATACATTTTATATCTCAACTTAATATTTATTTAGTATTCAAATGTTTAATATTATTTATGATTAGTATGTATTAAATTAACAATTAATAATTAAATAATAAATTGCATGTGACTCAATCATTTTAACAATTTCAAAATTAATTATTAATATACAAGTAATATATGATAAATTATTTTTTACAGAGCTTTATCCGTTGCTGTTTAGCATATCGTAAGGAAGATCGTATTGATGTGTTCACATTATCTAGGCATGAATATTTGCAACCACCATTGCCTAAACATGGCCGTCAGTCGGCCAACAATCAACAACAGCAACAGCAGCAACAGCAACAGCAACAACAGCAGCAGCAACAAATATCAGCAGCTAATTTTGCATCTGGCATGTTTGGGAACATGAATGCATCTAGTTCATCCTAAGACCAAGATATTAGAGTTAATAATAAATATGAAATAATTATAAACAATATTATTTGAACGGACAATATATAAAACACGCCTTGTGCCATTTGGATTAAATTATTTGACCAAATAAAAAATGGTGTTCACAAACGGCCTTAGGAAATTTTAATTGTATGATCATTATTATTATATTATTATATGAATGTACTAGTCAAATCGTTTTGGTCACTGCTGCAAATGAGTTCCTGAGTACATTTATGATGTTTTTGTTGTACTATTACCTAAATAAAATATAGTGATACTTGTTCGAGAATCGCCTGATTCTTGCGGACAACAATTTTAACTGTACTCTGTACACATTAATAATTACATTACGAAAGTAAGATAAGTTGTTTATTTAAAAAATGCGAAAAAGAATGAAAGCTTTAATTTATAAACTATTTTCTGTGAATACCTAATATGTTAGATTTCATTATAATGATATAATTGTACCATCATCACAATTTATTTTTATTTTTTGCTTTGTACAGTTTCACCATTTTTATTTATTATTTTTTTTTTTTGTATATATATTTGTATAAATATATTTGTACATATATACTGATTTTTTTGTAAATGACATGTGAATTCGATTTAAGAATTTCGACGATAAAATGTTATTTAGTTTGTTTATTGTTAACACAAAAATGTTTATTTTGTTGTGATATAAAAAAAAAATACGCAAAAAGAAATTGTGGAGAAAAAGAAATATTAATATGATAATAATAATAGTTTTTCCTCAACAATTTGGAAAAATGAAAAGGCGGTTTTTTTTCGAGCCAATGAGACTTTATAATTATTATTTTAGACACACTAGATTTGTTGTAAGGTTTATTACTATCTTTAGTAATAACAAACATTGTATAATTATTATTGATACTATTATTATTACTATTATAAAAATAAAATAAAAATGAAATTGAAAAAAAAAGAATGTGTACCCAAATCTTTTTTTACTCTAATGTGTATCCTAATTATGTTTAAATTATTATTAGAGGTCGGATTTTTATGATTTTACATATTTGTTTCTAGTCTATGCAGTTAAGTGGGAGTGAGAAATATTTACGATTCATGAAACACAGAATTCATAGGAAAATTTTATTCTGCATAAAAAAGCATATTTTATGGGTTAGAGAATATTTAACACGTTAGAGAATATTTGAGAATATTTTTGTAATATTGGCATATAATGAATATATTTCACGTATATCAGCACTTTGATAGGTATAATGTTCACTAAATAATTCTGTTTATAAATAATTAATTTCTGGATTTTAATAAAAATTAATCTCCAGGTATTCCTTATCGATTGCGATAKCACGTAGRTTATTTCATTAGCTAAAATAAATTTAAACTGATTTTTTTTTAATATTAAAAGAATATTTTGCATATTTAAGGACATAAAACATCATATATCTGGTATTTTAAAAGAATATTAAGAGAATATATTGCCTAATTTATATGACATAAAAACATCATATTTTAAGGATTTTAAGAGAATATAAATCCGACCTCTAATTATTATTATTWTTTTTTGTCTTAAACTCCTTGCGTAAAGTTTGATTTTTTTCCATTCAAAAATGTTCTTAATAATATTATTTTTTTGATTTGATTAACTACTTGATTGTTGAATAATAATAATAACAAACATTACCATGCTACTCAATATTTTTTCTCTACAGGGAAAATCTATGAATCTTAAATATAATATTTTTGTTAATGAAAAACCATGACAACAAAAAATCTGCCAGAAATATTTATTTTGTATCCTGCTTAATAAACATTTATGTAAAAAAAAAAAAATAAAAAAAAATCCATTTAATAAAATATTTTTAATAGTTTTACTTAATTGACACATTCAATGTATTTGGCATATTGTCAGTTCATTGAATTGTTGGAGTATTTGGTGACTACCTGATAAACACTATTTATCTATTTATTTATTGTTGCAACTATAAGTATAATTATAAAGTCTATTAAGTATAAAGTAAACGTTTTTAAAGCAGGGTTTGTGGTTTGTCGAGTTATCGTGCAGCCAATATTTTTAAATATTAACTATCCATTTAAAAGAAACTATATAATGAAAGGACACTAATTGTTTTGAGCCTGAACATGTTGGATAAGATAAGATATCTGTCAGTTTCATTAAACTTGCATTGGTTATTATGTTATAAATGTTGAAACAAATACAAAACTAACTATTATTGATTTTCTGACTGATGTCTGATAAAATAATGTATCAATGTAATTGAAAGTAAATAAAATTTGTATCTTATACTTAAATATTCAAGATCTATATACCTATCAGCTTATACCTATGAAATTACTTAAACTAGAATCGTGTTCCAAAAAGTTGTTGGTCTTTAACTGGTGTAATATCATTCCTATAAAATCCTGGTGCAGGATACTGAACCATGTAGGTGAATGATATGGTGMAAAGTAGTGCAAACATCTCGGTACATTTTTTTCATACTAGTCTTAGTTAACAAATTTCTAGATTGCTATAATTAAAATTATTGTATTATATTGTAGTTCAAATACATTTTTATAATTATCCTAATCTTGAATATTTATGAACAAGGTAACTAAATATTTATTTCACACACTAGATTATTTTGAAGAGGTAACATGAAGTTTCAAAATATTTTATAAATTCATTACATTGCAAATTATGTTAATATCAGCAAAACAATAAAACCAATTAACCAAAAACTAAATTAAGTAACAAATCATGCAAATTACTTAACAGTAATTTCGCGAGGTAAAGAACCGAGAAAGATACAGTTATAACTAAGAAACGAAATGCTCACCACATAAAAAGGAGAATTTTGTCTGTGTAATATCGTTTTTATTTTTTCGATATCACTTATACAAATAAAATTCTTATTGTTTTATAATACATTAATTTAGTGTTTTTTAAGCATGTATAACTTGTTTGGTAGTTCGGATATCGAAAAAATAAAAACGATATTGCACAGACAAAATTCTCCTTTTTATGTGGTGAAAATTTCGTTTCTAAATTATAACTGTAGCTTTCTCGGTTCTTTCCCGCGCGAAACAGTTTTTCGCAATGTTACGCACTTGTAAGACGGAGACAACACGTCATGCGGCCATGCGAGTGTAGCGTCCTCTTAATCATAACTATTAAGCTTTATGTACACAAGAATAAAACCTTTGAAAGAAATTTTGAAGAAGCTATTAACCAATTTATTGTCGGCTAATGATGACCCTGTTGATTTAGCTAATTATAAATTAGTAATTGATAGCAGGGCCGTATTTAGGAATTTGACACGAAGGGGCAACAAAAAAAAATACGCCTCATTAATCATTATACAAAATACAAATTTAAATTATAAAAAAATTAGCCGCCCTCTCCTACTTAGCCACCCGGGGCAACAGTACCCTGTAGCTGCCCCCTAAATACGGCCCTGATTGATAAGTACTAGTGTGGAATCCAATTTATTTTTAAATACTGTTTCAAATTTATCAACATACATTATCAGTGGTTCAGTTTGTAAAGATAAGAGATAATATTGATAAGAGCATAAGGTCGTCATCTTGCAGCTATTCGGCGTTTTCTGTCTCTAGAAGTCTAGACGCTTGTGTTCATTTTCATTTTGGTTCATTCAGTCGCGACCATCGCAACTCTACAATGTTGAATTGTGTTGCCAGTAAGTTAACATTAGTTTGTAATAGTAGACTTCCATCAAGCTTCAACAATCTTCGAGAATGTGTAGCACTGTTTGCTACCCCTAAGACGGACTTTAGCACCTCTTCAATCAAATTTGGTGGTACAAGAGATGATCCTAAACGTTGGCTGTCATATAATGATGTTATTTACCCACCACAGGAACCTGGGGAAGAGAGAAGACCAGCTGTATGTTAATTATAGTATTTATGCACTTATGTTGAATACTTAAATTATACTATTTTAATTGAATGTTGTAGTTTGTGTGCCACCAAAAACTAAATATCAAATATAGTCCCAAAAAAATGTGGTATGTCGCAAGCTTTGTGCGTGGCATGACAGTTGACGAAGCATTTAAACAATTACCTTTGGTCGGGCGTAAAGGTGCCACTATAGTAAAAGATACTATTTTAGAAGCTCAAAAGCTAGCCATTGAAAATCATAATGTCGAATTTAAAACAAATCTATGGATTGGTAAGAAGAAAAATTTGTTTAATTGTTAATCGCACTGTTTGTACATTTTTATGTTTATTTTAATTCATTAACATGATTTTAATGTTTCTTTTTCATACCACCAATGATTATTATTATTATAATTATTACTCAGTATATTACATTTTAAATTTTAATCCAATTAAAACTACTTTATTTTTATAGTTATGTTTATACCTATACCTATACTCAAATATTTTTGATTTCGTAATAATTTGAATGAATAGAGTTGTAAATCCCTTTTGATACATAAATTAGTTAAATATTTAGAAATTAGAACATATAGTAGAACCTCGATTATCCAGGATAATGGTCTGAAAGAGGTCTCACAGATAAATAAAAGTCACGGTTAATCGAGACTTATTACTGTAATGACATTTAAAATTTTTTTTTAAATTATAGGTAATTAGAAATACACACAATAATGTTATACATCCGTAATATTATATATAACAAATTATCAGGGATTAAAATATGAAGTTATCAGTCTTTGTTTTATAATTTATAATTATCGATGTATGTACAATATTGTTTATATTCATATTGTTATTGTCAAAAATGTCATTATTATGTTAGTCGATATTGTATACATATTATGTAGTAATAAATATTTAATTATAATTACATAATTTATAATATTTTTAGGCCGTGCTTATTTTTAAATTTTTGGAAGAGTGTGCACGGTTAATTGTGAATATAGATAATTGAGACACTGTTAATCTAGGTTCCACTGTATTTGTACCTTTTTTTGGAGAATATGAATTTTATTTTCTGTTGTTATAAAAAAACAAACATCTTATCTTATTATGAAATTAACTAAAAAACTTTACCTATTATTATAGTGAAAAAAAATGTAATATTATAAAGTATTATTTAAAAATTTGAATAAGTTTAAATGTAAATGATATGATCACTGTTAGTACAGTTTTAGTTAAGAATAGATTATAGTTTCAAATGTTATAATAGTTTTAATTTATTTTTTATTCCAGCTGAGTCGTTTTGTGGTAAAGGTCCAGTGATAAAAGGTATGCGCAGACATGCTAGGATGCGAATGGGTGAAGTCATGTACAGGTATTGTCATTATTTTGTAAGATTAGAAGAAGGCACACCTCCAGAAAATTATTATTATAGCTGGCCTAAGACAGGCCCAGCTCTGTTAGCCCATTGGATTGATGAAGTCCGTGACCGTAAAATTCAAGGATCGTTGTAAAGCACATTAACTAGTGATAAGAAATGTATTTGTTTATAAATATTAACTAAAATTTAATAAAAAAAAAGGCTTGTAAACTTATAAGAATTATGTGTTCATTTTATATTTGTTGTCTTTGTAAAGCTGATACACAAACTGAAATACTGAGTACCAAATGATAAAAAAAAATTATCATCTATAGTCCATTCACGTTAAAAAAGAACCCTGCCGTTACCAATTTTCGTTTGACGGGAGTCAGGCGACACCCATTAATCAGCTTCGTGAGTCAAACATCTGTGTAGCCAGGCCTTGGAAACATACGGTTGGCAAGGTTCCTTCTTAACGCAAATGGTGTGTATTATATCATTGATAGACAACTATTAGTGTTTTATATTATTTTAAATTATTTTGGTTTTGATAATTGTATCTTTTGCCTTTAATGGTTTTATCCATTGTTTAAACATTGTGATTAATTATAATATGCAGATTAACTTATGTACTGACTTATTTTAAACTGTAATTTTTTAGTACATGATAAATATATTTTTGAAAAATAAAATACTGGCACTACAATACTACATGTATATTGTACCTATTTAGTCAAATAAGTCATGGGCCATATCTAGGAATTTTTCAAAGAGGAATCCAATTTGTTTGACATGCTATAAGTACCATAAAAAATAATGTATAATGTATAATGTAAAAACAATAAATTCTGAAATGAGGTTCAGACTTAAAGCTTAACCCTTAAGTACGCCTCTGCTTTGATCCTAAACATAAATAAACTTAGTATAGTGAGAATTGTGTTTATGATACAATATATAGATAAATATTTTTTTAAATAATTTATAGAAAGTTCATACTTAAAAAAAAAGATAAAATATAGTCTAGATTATAATTTATTTATTATTAATCGTCACGTTTTAAAGATATTTATTAACTTCAATATTATTTTAGACACTCAGAGGTCAAATCTCAAATAACTCTTTCTCATGATAATATAATACTTATTATAAGTAATTCTAAAGCTTAGTAACCTAACCAATCATAGATAATACATTAATACCATTGATTGTAATTTTTTTATAAATACTAGAATATCCTAGTCTCTATGCTACATAGTTATTAGTTTATAATTAATAGTTTTATAACTTTTAAATATTAATGTAATTATCTGAAATAATGTTTTGATTGCATTATTGATCCCTTGTAAGATTTCCACATAATATTTTGAATAATTAAAATTTTTAATTGTTGATGCACATAATAGTTTACTATACTTAGGTACCTATTAGGGGCATAAGACATATCATCGAGTTGAAGATGAAGTATCTAAGCACTTATTAAAGATTAATTAATTGATTTTAGTATCTTTATAAGTACAATATTGGAATGTAGTTGTTATAGCCTAACCTAACCTAACCTATTATTTATTATGGTTATAGAATACACCTCATTCTTCGCAAATTAAGTGATCTTTCACTCATGATGTGTTGCTTTAGCTATCATGTAGTATTATGATGGAAAATATTACTAAAGTATGTAGATGATGAGAAGTTATGTTTATTGGTATAGTTATAAATAACAATGTTTTTATTTGTTCATTATTTTCATTGGCCTTTGATAATAACTGTAATGAGAACATGTTTTTTTTTAAATATTTAAAATATTATGTCAATCTATGTTTAATGAAGATTTTGATTGACTATTGACAATATTTATTTCTGGATTATTTTCCTTGCTATGTGTAATACCATATCCGAAATAAATTGTGAAACCTAAAAAAGATATAAGTTTAATAAACAAGAAGAATTAAAGAATTATAAAATAAAATAATATAGATTTGTAGACATTTACTATTCAACAAAATAGAAGAAACTAATTAATAATTAATTAATTCAGGAATTTAGTATCTTCTGTGAATTTACTTTAATAAATAAGCTCTAAGTCTATAATTTTATATTCTCTAAAAACGTAATAAATACCAACCAATAATCATCCAAATGATGAATTTCGTCCACGTATATATGTCGAAAAAGAACATTAAATAAATGTTTATAAATATACTCAGTGCTGGGGTAAGTGGTACAAGTGGCACCTGTAAAAAAATAAAATAAATACCATATAATAAATTAAGTTTGATTTTAATTATAATTGTACATTAATATAATAATAATTATTATTTGCTAGGTAGGTAGTTGTTTACTTTAAATGCTACTGGAGTTTTAGACGTTGGTTGCATAGCGATGGATACAAGTTGTAAAATCATGACACCTACAATAACCTGGACAATGATCCAATGTGTACCGTTTAGCTCATACCAGTGACTTAAATAGAGACCAAGAGGAAAACACGTTATTGCTGAAATTAACATTTTTTTAATATGCGTTGGTAAAAATGGTTTTTGATAGTTTTGGGCAAATATAGTTTAGCTTACTGAAACACGTCGTTTGTAAAGACGCCACGTAACTACTCAGACTGTTTGCCCTCACGAATTTGTGGAAGTTGAATAATTGTTTTAGTATTTGCTTCTTTGTGTATTTTACTTTTATCGTGACCAGTGCTGTAGATTCGATGTATTCGTCAGCCAATATATCGTAGTCCATATCGCTCTGTTCTTGATATCTGTTATAAAAATCGATGGTAAATAGTAAAGTTAATAAAATAGTGTTATCCCCAAGAAAAAAATAACGAAAAAGCCCGAAAAGTTTTGAGTTTACCTTGTGTACAGTACACAYACAGCGACCATGACGTATACTAGCAGAGTGCCGATTGTCATCATGTCCACTAGTTGTTGGAGATTTAGTAAGGCGGAAAAAAAACCTTATACAACAAACGAAAGCGCCAATTGATTAATTTTTTTATATCAGTAATAATTAGTTAGATATTATATATTGAAAACACTATTATGTATTAATATACAACATAATACCTAAATATAATTAATTTACGAGTGAAAATAGTTCATTAGGTACCCGTAATGATGCCGGCAAATATCGTTCCAAAAAATGGAGTCTTAAATCTTGGGTGTACTTTTCCTAAGCTTTTGAATATCAGACCATCGTTGGACATTGCGTACAAAATCCTCGGCAGTGGGAACATTGAACCGAACATACTGAAAACGTTAGGTAGGTACTCAACTTATATTCTTGTTATTATTATTATTATAGTCAGTATGTTAATAGCTGCAGGCCTGCAGCAACTGTTAAACCATTTGACTGCCGTACATAGGATTATATATTATTTTCATTAATTGYTTACTTAGTATACCTACTTACCATGCACACATCCCGAAAACGGCCCCTACTCCTATGATCCATTTCAGAGGCGTCCATCCAATAACGTCGAACGCGTGACTTAATGGCATATTTGCGTCCTAGACATAAATATGTAATTGAAATGGTCGTATTTTAATATTACCAATGTCAAACTGGTCAATTTTGGGCATTGGTATAACAACTTATTGCTTGGGACAAAAACAGATTTTTTAAAATATACATCAGTATTTAGCACATATAATATCATCCACTTGGTCTACTGTTAAAACGTCGCGATAAATATATGTTGCAAATACAAAAAAAGTTGCATGTAGTAAAACTACATTTTAAGATATTGCMGCAGTCGCTGATATAGTTCGCAGCTCTGGGTTTTATTTAGTGGTTGGTACTTATRTTGTTGGATTTGATTTGTTTAGAGTAGGTCGGTACCATATGTAACTACGAAAATAAAGTTCAGTGTGTAAACTATTATAACTGTAACCATCATAGCAACAATTCGCCGTTTCAGTAACTCTAGATGTCATATCATTATTATTTATTATGTCTCTGATAAAAAAAATTAAAAACTACTGAATTTCAATATTATTTTATTATCTAAAGAAGTAAAAGAGAAAATAAAAATAAAATCGTTTGGAAGTGCATAGACGCCGTAGAGTATTAWACAAACAAATTTCGTGATTGGTTGATTTTTGATTTTTACTACCAACAATAATTTATAATTAATGGAACAACATTATTGTTTGCATATCTATAGGCATACAGTATTCTTGGCTAACTTTATACTATTCATGTAATAAATTATTCCAAAGTTATACCATAATTCTCCCTAATAAAAAAGATGATATAAGTACTTAACAAACGTATATTTTTAGCATTAATAGTTTTAAAACCACAGCTTATTCTAAAACCAATGATATTTGATTTTTAAAAAGCTGCTATGAACAACGTATCAACATATCTATCGTGAATTAGTATTAATGAGTGTTTTTTTTTCGATTTAACCTAGTCGATTTGGCTGATTTGGATTATATACCCGAAAATAATGGAATTTCAGCATTTGAAACTTAAGTTGATTCCGAGTTTTATAGAGGAAACAAAATAATATAGTTTCGTATCAAATTTAGTAAATATTTTTATGACACATACATAGGATGACCTGCATGTTTGAGAGTGAGAAAGGCTTCTTTATTTTGTATAAATGTTTGGAAATGCTATTCATCATGATAATCGACCAATTTGCCACCTAAGAGGAGTATCATAAATTTATAACTTTGAATATMAATTAAATTATCAATTATTATTATGTACTTTGTACGTATATGATAAATAATACGAAGTTAAATTATTATTAGGTTTACCTTGTATAGTTGAATACCTAATGTGTACCTCTACTTTATTATATTTTAGTGTATTTTCATATTTTTTACATCACTATCATTTGTTATTTGTCTACTACATTTTTATTACTAATATTGACATTGTACTTTGGATGAATAACATTCAATTAATATATTATAGGTATAGATAATATGTGTATTATATTATCATATATTAGCTGCAAGTATTTTTTCATATTTATATTGTATTCACGATGTTATTAGCGACATTTAGTCATTATGACCTGAGTTCCATCTACATATAACTTGTAATAAATTTAAATATTTTTGCGACAATATAAAAGTAGATAATAGATTTTTTATTTCAAAAGTGTAAGTACACTATAAAGGTACCTTATACTGGTTACTATACCTAGTAAATAACTCTACAAACAGACATATTAAATAAGAGGACTGGTATAGCTCGGTGGTTAGCCTCAGTCACTAACATGTT